GGCCTAATGGCATAATAGTAGAATTCAGGTATGGCAGTCTTTAAGACTAATACCCAAGAAAAATACATTCTCTACAGCATCAAATCATATACTTCAGAAATTTTATTTCATTATCTGATAACATAAAGCCTATGCTGGAAGACATTCCTAAAAGGTCAGTGTAGTACAGAAGGATAACTTGTCTGAAACTTTCACCTAGCATTCTGAAAAAAAACCTAAATACATCTCTCAGCAGCTTTGCATGGTGGTAAGAACTGCTGCTTCTTTACTGATTATGCAGATGTGGTTTGTGGGGCTGTTGGATTTGTTTGCTTTTAGTTTAATTTTCAGTACAGAGATAAGCTTAGTGAAATCAGATTTTTCACCATAAAACTGGATTTGAGTTGTGCTTTCTACTGCACTTTCTAGAAGACCATAAGAACATGGAAGAAACCACACACAGAGCATAGCTTAAAGAACAAAGCTACAGTAATGCAGCTTACCAGTCTGCAACAAGAAATGTCGTTTTCTAGACTCATATCACAGATAGAACAGACCTAAGTACAATATCACAGATAGGAGAACAGACCTAAGAACATGGCCTCTGGAAACACAAGGGTACAAAACTTCTTTCTCTCCCTCTCCCTTCGGCTCCGACTTTTTTTCCTTAAGGGAAGGAATGCATCATGCAAAATAACGCAGTGTATTTTTTCGGTGTATTGCACAGATTAAGATAACACCGTATTAAGAAAGCACTTAAGACCCTTTGCCGGCGCCCGCACTCCGTACGAGCTGCCGGCGCCCCAGCAGGGCAGGGTCCCCGCGCACCCCAGGTGTGCAAACGGGGTCTCGAACGCACGGAAACTCACGTGTGCGCTTCTGGGCGCGCGTGGCCGTGTCCGCACACCCCGCGACTGAGTCTGTCCGGGACAGAGCGGCTGCGCTCCGGGCTCGGGCCGGCTCCGGGCGCTGCCCGCTCCGCTCACCGGCACGGCCCGGGGCTCCGCTACCACCGCGGAGAGTTACAGAGCTGAAGAAGTTTTACCAGCCCGACTCCTGGAGCAAAGGCGCATTCCTCGCGGAGCCGTCCAGCCGCAGTAACAGTGCTGCCACCGCTGCCCCCTCCACCGCCCCGGCCCCGCCGCCGGTGGCAGGGGCTGAGCCCGCCCGTCCCGCCGCACTCACCGGCAGCCCCGGCGCGGAGCGGAGCAGCGCCAGCGCCGCCGCCAGAGCGGGCCCGGCCCGCCCGCCCCGCTCCGCGCCCGGCCCGCCCCGCCGGCCTTAACCCGTCCGGCCCCGCCCGCACCTGCCCCCGGTGCGAACGGGACAGCGCGCCAGGAATTGGTTTCCTCCCCGGGGCCAAGGTTTGGCTCCCCCCGGCACGGGCGGCTTGGAGAACGCTAGCGAGACCCCCGAGCTGCACAGGTGTAAAGGCTGTGCGGCCCGAAAAGCCCGTCAGAAGGTCCATCATCATTCACACATTAGGAAACGAATGCAAAACCCAGATAAAACTGCAATAACTTCTGCGAATAGATCCGGACAGTACAGACAGGTAGAGCCCACACGTAGCTGTTCTTTGAAACAGTGTAAAAAGCAAACAAGAACCATTTCACACCCAACAGTGTGATACAGAAATTTGGCGGCTCATGCCACCTCCAAGGGGCCAGAGTGAGCACAGACAGCTTTGTAATCAAAGAGAAGTCAAACTCACAAGTAGACAGTTGTGCAAAATCAAATTTATCTGGAGCCTGTTATCAAATGGATCTGACCCACTGCTACCTGCCTCTATCACTTACTGAGGCCAGGCATATGTCCACACAGTGCAGACCTTGCACAGGTCTGCTCAGAGCTGAACTGACTAAACAAAATCTCAGCAGAAGATCTCTGTCCCACGTCTCAGAAATCCTGGTAACAATTACAGCATGAAACTTAGGTATTAAAGCTTAGGTACAGCCTTGCACCTGAACATTATCTATGAAATGCCAAACAGACTCCATGCCAGTTTTTTTCTGTTTTAAACAAACAAACAAAAACAAACAAACAAACAACAACAAAAAAAAACCTCCTCAGAATAAGAGCCCAAAATCTTATTGACCCTGTTCCCCTCAGCTGAAAGCTCACCTTGAAGACAGCTCAGGAAATTTTCTTCTCTTCACTTCTGTCCATCTCTAATACAAGCTTCTCATTGTCTCATCCATTTCTATCCTTTTGTTAAGTCCTATAAGCAATTAGCAAAAGCTTCCTATTCCCAAAGAACAAGACTATGAAAGGCAACAGCCCTTTTTCAGAGCACTTTGCAAAAGTTTATGTTCCAGTTCTGCTTCCATTACTGTGCATTACCTCCTTAGCAGCTGGAGTGGGACCACCTATCAGCCAGCAACTGTGTTCAAATCTGTATTAATGTGCAGAATTCAGAGCCAACATATGCCAGATTTCCTGTTAAGTTTCACCTCTGGAACAGAGAGACAGTAATAGCCTCCAGCAAGTGTGTCTTATCTTCCTTTTCAAGAGGAAAAAAAAACCCAGAACACCAGATGGTGAAGATAAAAATTGGTTTCTACAGCACATTAGTGACCTGCTCTAATATGGTAGGGCTGAAGCAGCAGTCTAGCTAGCAAGGATTTCATATGATTCAAACCATAAAAAAATCAATACTGGACAAGAAAACCTTCTGATTCCATTACAGAAATTAAGTCTTAAATCCAGTTAAGAATTATTAAGTATTCTCTGTGTTTCTTTTGTTGATAATGCTTTCCCTCATTCCCTGGGGTGTTCTGTCACAAACAAGTATTTATCTGAGCAGTGGTTTTGGCAGGTCACATTAAGAAAGAGTTGGAGGTTGAGTGAGGAGCCAAGACTCTCCACCAGGGCTCCATGTCAGGGGCAAGGGAGGCACCTCAGCTGCTCCAGGGAAGAGAGGCACCAGGCCCCTGGAGGTGATGAGCCTGCTCACTGTTCATACATTACACCACAAATTATCCACACTCATGCTTTTCTATCTGCTCCTGCTAGGTTCCAGTCTCTAACCCAAGATTTCTGTAAGTACTGGCAGAGGGCAGAGCAGTAAGGAAAACTCAGTTCATTCTCAGACATGATGGAACTGTTTGATTTAGGAAGAGGCACTCCAGAAAGCTAACCAGTAAAACAGCAGCAAATTCAGAAAATATCAGCATCTTGTACATAACCAAGCAGACTGCGCATTGTAAGGGACAGGGGACCTTGGCAGTCAGGAAATTCTGACCCTCCTGCAGAGCGCAGAAGAGTTTCCGCGTTATCCAGGGCCCCAGAGCACACACCAAAAGACTAACATTGCCCCAAACAAGTTCTGCAAATGAACACCAGGAGAAAAGTTGACTCTTCTGTCAACAGTGGAAGACAGTAATGCTCTGTTCTAGATCACACAAATTATGAAAAGACAGTTACAGAAAGTCTTTGCTAAGAGCGCAGTGTCTTGGTTATTGGTAGCAATTTCAGTTACAGCCACAAGCTGTAGTGAGATTAGGCCACAGCAACACATTGCACAGCTGGGATGGGAAGAAAATTCACTGTCCCAAATACATTTCAGCAATAGAAGCATTAAAATGTGCAGAACCTGGATGCATCAAAATCCTGACACCAAAAAATCTGTTCTTGACACCTAGCTGCAGCCAAGGCAAGGCAAAATGGCATTCACTTTCAACAACCACAATAAAAATATAATTGTTACAAAGGTAAACACTAGGAAGGAGATTAAATAAACCAAAAAAAAGGGGGAAAAAAAGCTGCCACTCATATCAGGGCAGTATTTTGAATTGCCTTTGCCATTTGAAACACTGACAAGCCAGAACCTGCAGAGAACACCGTTAGTAGCTAAGAACACAGAGCAAGACTGAGTCCCAGCCAACACACTGACATCACCTACTTAAGAGTGGCTTTTTTAGAGAGCAAATAGTGGAGAGAAAAAAGCAGAGCATCTCATACAGTAGTACACAGGAAGTGTCAGTGCCCCTGGAAGTTTCCAGAAATACCTGGTTAACATTTATGCACTATTATCCTGGGAGTGCTTTTAAATTCCTCAAAGTCCTCTGTTCTCATTGAGTAAAGTTTATAAAGAGGCAAGAGGAAAGTACAGTCTTTATAGATGACCATCCCAAAGACAGCTAGAAAGTCACCTGAACAAACCAACTGCAAGGCTCAGTTGGTACATATTTTCTTCCAATTAACATGTGCTTGAAATAGAAGTAAAATTCCATGGCACTGGTTTTGCCTGAATTTGTACTCTGGGTTATGACAATACAACAATATAATACTCATTAAAAAAAAAAATCTTTACAGGAGCCTTCAGTTAATGCTTACCATGAAAGTTTCCAACCCTGTAAAGAAGTATTTAATTATAGCTAAAGCAGTAAGTTGAACTTGGACACAGTGTAAATCGATATTATGGGTATAACAGAAAAGACAGCCAAAAAGGATAATAAACTGCTTTTTAGTAAAGCTGTTAAAGAAAAGACTGTGACTTATAAGTAGTTTGTGTTAAAATTATATACAAGAGAGAAAACAACAGTTACTTTCCACTTTTGTGCAGCTTTTCTATGTAAATTTAATTCAAATAAATTAAATGTGCCAAGTAGAAATGACAGGCTGAATGCATCAAGTGATAAATTCCTCCCTTCATGACTTCTTTTTATTTAATACTTTTAAACACAGGATTATTTTTTTAATTATTTTTGTATCATTCTTTTTCTTATTAACAACAACAGCTGATTCAAGGCCATTTTCCTTTCTCCTCAATGTCATTAGCAAACAGAGCTTCCACAGACAATGCTCAAGGATCAGTTTTCTCTAACATGACAGAACTTGAGGCAAGAATACTGAATTCTTCACAGCTCTTCTCCAGACACAGCTGCTGGGTCTCCTGTTGGTCAGCCACATCAATACCTTTCTTGCCCCAAAACCTTAATTAGCTAAGACAAGTCTGTTCAGGAGGCAGATCCAGACGGCATGTTCCACTGCAATTTGGAGAATTATCCTTCTCCATACCACTATGCTTTCTTTGCATATATCAGTAGTGAATTTCAATGTGCAGCCATCAATTAATAAGTATCAAGTTGTCATCACTCTGTTGTCTGCAAAGAAAAAAATTCACAATTCTCCAATCAGCAAGAAATGCAATAGGAAGTATCTACCCCTATGAGCTCAGTTTTGATCCTTGGTTCTCTGCTTACCCATTTCCACACACAACTCTAACTCCTGCACTGGACAATGATGCAAAACCTGCTACAGCAGCAAAAGCTCCAGATCTTCACTCCAACCACCAGCCTTGTGCCCTCAGTACTGCACAGCATATCATGGTGTATATTTATTATGCTCAATAATAATTTTGCTCACAAAAATCTCTTATTCTGCACAGTGATTTGCAGGTGAAACCTGAAGTTGGGCCTGGCTGGAATTCTTGTTAACTGGTTGGTTTTCATGTGCCCCCACCAGCCACTGGGATACCTGCCCATCATCATCTCACATGTTCCTTTCTTGGCTATGGGGTCCCCTTCTGCCAGGGTACACCAAAAGTATAAAAATGTACTTCAAAAAGCATCAGTATAGAAGCAGACAACTATCCTCCTGCTAAAAGGGGATTTGTTACACCAGTTGTGATTAAGTGCTCCCATTTTGGTCTGCTCATTCTCCCATAGCCTGGCTTCCTTGCACAGCGCCCACAACCATTCTGTGCACAGGAATGGATCGTCCTGGACTGTCTAGGGACAGTGACAAGGTCCCTCCTGTCTCTAACAGGTCTTCAGAGGTGTTATGTTGCCTCAGAAACAGAATTCAAAGCAGACCAGCAAGCACCAGATGAGACATTTGTCTCTCACCACCGCCTTAAAAAGGACCACTGCCACAATGCCTGCAGGAAGACATTTACTAGGGTGTTTCCAATATTCTGGCAGATGGTGTTCAAACAGCTTGCCTCAGACACAGCATAGTTTTGGGATTAAGCACCAACCTCTGGCTGAATCACCCTCTCACTTTCTACTACTCCAAGCTTAGTAGCAAAGCTTTTTAGAAACAGACAGCTTGAAGCAAAGACCTGGTTTGCTCCAGAACCCTTGGTAGTTTCCTGCTATACTCCTCCACAGTCCTCTCATCAGCTTCTGCATAGCAGTTTTCATAGGAGTCTAACAGTTAAAACAAGTTTAAGCTGAAAATTGCTGCCTTTGCATCATCAGCTGACTAAAGATCTAACATGAAGTAAAGTACAGGAGGAACAACAACATCCAAATATCAACAGGCTGAATTCCGAATACTCCAGCATTCGTGGAGCAGCATTTTCCAGTGAGAAGGTAGCTGCTGTACTTCTCAGGAAAACACTCATTAAAAAACACCCTACTGACCTCCTGCAGCAGCAGATGAATGGAAAAGAAGTTCTGTCTTTTCTGTAGCCAGCACTGCTATGGTCTTTTAGAAATTCATGTAAATCTGTTGCTGGAAAACCACTTTGTTGGTATTTCTGAAAGGAAAAGCATTTCATTTACAACACATGAGAAGTTACTGGGCATGAAACATTCTAAAAGTTCCTCTAGAGTGTGGCAGTTAAACAGATTATTTGGTTCAATAATTCAGTATTGCTGTAGGAAGGAAAGAACCCATTCCCATCCTAGAAACACTACATAGCTTGCTTTGTTCCAACAATATAAGTGACAGAAAATTCACATTGCTCACAGATTCTCTTATGTTTTGTTTGCTGCCCATAAGGCCAAGCAAGTGACCTCAGGCCATAATGGTATTGATTCTCCCTTGTTCAGTGAGCTGCCGTGCTCACTGCAAGTGCCCTGGGCTCCCTTTCCCTAAAACCTCTAATTCTGGATGTGAAGGGTCCCAGTGTGACTATTCAATATTGCCATGCTGAAGAAATGCTATGAAAAAAACAAGTTTAGCATACTGAAACAGCTCCCAGCTGATCCATGTAAAATACTCAGGGGGCAGAGTCACTAAAACACCATTTTGCAGATCAGACCATCCAGTAGACTAAGAAGCACAGACAATTAAGCTATATTTCCAGGTGCTTCAAGAGCAAAACTCTAGCTTGGTCTGGAAGTTTACTTCATGCCAGACCAGCCTTGTTTTGCTGGCCTGTGTGTGACACCAAGACAAGAACAAGATGAGAGTTGAAGGGTGTGATCCACATTGCCCTCCCACTGGTCACTGAGCCTACCAGCAGCACAGAGGGCAGAGAGCATCTGAGGTCAAGAACAGAAGGTAATTACTGAAAACTGAGGTTCACTTTCAGACAGTCCATACTGGAAATGGATGGCACAATTTTAACTTGAACGAGAAGTAGTGTGCCTCTCAGAAGACATTTCCTTTTAACCACATATTTCTAAGCAGCACATTAAGGAGGCCTGGACACCTAAATGACTTTAGAGTTATCTGCTTGAACCTTTCCCAACTCCTGCCAAAGGCACGTCTCTGAGACCCAGCCACTCTTCCAATTTTGCCACAGACTAAACAAAAAGATTTTAATAATCTCATCACACATCAGAATCAATAGTAGAAGGTATGGTGTTGAGCAATTAACAAGAAAGAATACAAAACTGAATAGAAGTGCAACAGAAAACAAATGCTTTACCTTTATGGTGTCATAGGAGTCAGTAATGAGTGCAATAAAAAGGCTGAGGATCATGTATATAAACAGACTAATGAAGGAGTACAGATATAACCGGCTGAACATCCACACCAGGGAACTCTTCTGTTGGATTTGAGCAAATGTGGCAAACATATCATCACCATTGACCAAAGAAAACAGACATTCAGCCACTGTGTTCAGATCTTCAAACTAGAAAAGGAGTACAAATTATTAGCAGAATGTGAAGATCAATCAAGACTCAAAGACTGAGTTTTACTCAAAGCAGACAAAAAAGCCAACTCAGATAATTAAATGCTACCACACTTCCCTGTACATTCAGGCCAAAATATGCATCAGTAATAGAATCACATAGAAATATCATCTTGACTAAGCATGATGTGTTGAGATCAGACAGAAGAATATTTATTATCAGGAAATAAAACTTGTGATGCTCAACAGGCAGAACAGTAAATAATTGACCACCACAGAAAGCTACTGAATTATAAGCAATTCTGGACCTGCAGAAAAGTATCATTCCATTTCCCAAAGCACGGCTGAAGTGATTTCACAGAATCTATACAGTGGTAGTATGCTGGAAACACAATCCACATTCTCTGGCTTCCCAGCTCAGCAGCATTACTGGAGTGTGGGTAATAAATCAATACTGTGTTAAGGGGCTGAAGTCAGCACATAGCCTTCAGAACTCAAATGGTCCAAACTGAATTAACAATCTGTCACTCTGTGAGCTGTGAATACAAGCTATAGTTGTATTATGAAGCTACTGGAGCACACCCTGTACAAAAATCATGGTTTAATTTCAAGGGCAGTCTCTTAAACTCCAAACTCCATTTCCCCAAACTGGAATGGGTCCTGAAGCTACCAGGTAAGCCCACTTCCCATTTTGCTCTGCCCTTCCAAGTAACTGGATTTCTTAACTATAATTTATTGGACAATATGAATTAACAGCCACATTAAAACATTGTGCATTATCAATGAACTAACACAATTGTGGCCCTACAATGAAAACAAGATGTCAAGAGGTATATGCTTGTAAGGAGAATTTATTGGTGCACAAGAACAGCAGGTCTGGTTTACACCTATGGCTTATTTTATTATTATTTTTTTAATTGAATTTTAAAGCCATTGTGAAACTCAACAGTACCTTATCCAGGAAGAACGGAGGCATGGCACACGTAATTTTTGAGCAACTCAAGTTTTGATGCACTGACACAGAGAGAGAAGGACTGCTCACCTGGAAGCCCCTGGACTGACATAGCACAAAATGCAGGATACCCACTCCCTCTCTCTGACTGTAGTAGAGGGTGTATTTCTATATTTTTGAGCATAAGGAGCTCTCCAGTGATTCTGCACATCGGGGAAGACTCTTCCCATCTCTTCCAGGATGGCTCAGTGGCTGGAGAGCCCCTGGGAGCCAGCCCAGGGATGGCCTGCCTTGCACAGTGCCACATTGCCTTCCTGTGGGACACTGGGGAACTGGCAGGAATGGGAATCCTCCCCAGCTCCAGCTGCTTTCCTTGACATTGATACACGATATTTAGGCAAGAGGTAACATTGTCATAGATACACATGTTGTTGACTGTCCTTCCTTTGGCTCAGATAACATACTTGTGGCAGGGAAGTTACAACAGTAATCACGCTCTGCCTTAAAATGTTATAAACAATTGAGCCTGTAGTGTGGCAAAAGATCCCACTGCATCCAGCATTCCCCAGAGAAAAGTATTGTCATCAGCTGGGAATGTGCAGGCTGAACGCTTGCACTGCCCAAAGGAGAGAATCACAGTAAGCTGGAGCAGTGCAAGCTCTGGGGCAGAGCAAGCTGCAAAAGCACTGCAGCATGTCTGTTACACACACTGTGTGCACCCAGAGACCAAGAATGAGAAATCAGACATTTGTTAGTCATTAATGGGCATTCAGAATTGGCCACGACAGGAATCTGCTCTGTTCAAACTGTCACACTGAGCATCTGCCAAGGGGAAAAGCAAACAAGCTTTAGGGTTGTTTTGGCTTGTGTTCTACAGTATACAAAGCCTTACTCCTGCACCCAGGTTTCAGACAAGACATACCAGGCACACACTTTGATACAAACCTTAAGAAAACAAACAAACAAACCCACAACACACCCCCACACAGGAAGCAAAGCAAATAAGACAAGCATTCATCCATCCCTTTATGAGTCACAATTTAGGAGCTGAAGTTACACGGCATGGGGAAGATTTGGAAAAACAAGGCCAGAGCCAGAGATTTTTTTTTAAAGAAAAAAAAAAAGTTCCATCGAACTATTTAGTGCCTCTTTAACCCAGCTGAAGTGGGATTGCCAGAAGAGGGCAGAAGAGACAGACCAATGCATGTGGCCTGGGCAAAGCATCCCCTCACCACAAACAGCCTGGTGCTGGAGATCACCCTGACTTCCAGCACACAGTAAAAGCAAGAGCAGTTATTTTGTTAAAAGGAGCAGGTAGAAGGAGGTACAGATGGAATGAGAAACATTCCCATGTTCACACTACAGCTTTTAAACAGACATTTTCATTTAAGACACATTTCGCTTGGTTTGGCTAGGAGCTACATACACACACAGAGATATTCCCGTCATTACACCACAAAAGGAGGGATACTGCTGATGTACCTTCTCATGATAAGGTCCCAGGACAATCCAACCACAGAAAGTATAGCCAAGATAGATCATCCCAGCACAACAACAAAACCGCAGCACTTTCGGCAACGATGCCTGCATAGTCAAAATGAGCACCTACAAGTCAGAGCAGAGCAAAGAAGGGGAAAAAGCAAAAATATAATTAGAGAAAGAGCTGGAAAAATGTGACATGTATATATACAAATATATGCTTTAATTTTTAGACATTTGATTCTCTCCTTACATTGTAGGTTTGAAAGTATCCCAGGTATCGGATGACTCCAACCCAGACAAACAAAGTTGATGTTCCAAGTAAAATGCTGCAGACATCATAACTTGTGAGGTTCTGAGGGATCCAAACAGAGCAGGTGGTCAAGTTACAAAGCAGTAGATATGTCTGCCTGACTGCTGTTCAAGTTACAGCAGTTCAAACAAACAAAGCAGGGCAGCCTAATACAGAAAGCCTGTTGCAACATCACAAAAATCAGATCAATGTGAACTGCAGTTATTTACTGAGATCATCCAAACACAACAGTGCTGCAGATGGATATGCTGATATTCTTGAAATTTTGCATGGAGTGCAAAGTCTGGAAGAAAAATGTCCTTAGTTTGGTTACAACACAGTTTCAAAATTAGATTGGATAACTCAAAATTTTTGTTTAAAAAGAGGGTTACTATTTGCTGTTAGGCAAAGAAGCTCTCATTCACTATTTAAAAAACATGAGCCATCATTTAAACAAAAAGTGACCCTTGGGACTACAGCCCTTTCCATGCTTACATGCATTTACATCTCTGAACAGGTTCTCTGCCAGCAGATCAGAACTGGAGCATTGTTTTATTACAGATTTTACTACAACCAAATCTACCGGCACTTTACTTTAGAAGGCTAGAGATGGTTGCAGTAAGTACAAGAGAGACATCTAGCTCAAGTTTTCCTACTCTCAATCCCCACCTCAACCTGCAGCCAGTGACTCCCAAGTGCTTCCTCTGAAGGCCACTCTGGGATCTGCCCTTTGAGCCTCAGCGCACATGAAGCAGGAGCAGCACACCACCTGCTCTGCTTTTCCCAGAATACAAAGTTTTGTGAACACATGAATTGTTGACACACATCTATTGAAGACTAAAAAAAAAAAAATTGAAAAAAGCCACAAAACCAACCCCAAAAGCCTCCTGAAGAGCTGCCAGCTGGACAAAGCACATTGATTTCAGCAAGCCCAGGCAGGGAGGTCAAGGATGAGCAGGTTACACTGTGCCTCTGCTTGCCAGGAAAGCAAGCTGTGACAATCCCTCAAGCCATCAAGAGCCCTGCTTCATTCAAGGGGAGGACTCATGGTTTCCCAGTCCTGAACATGCTGCTTCTTACAGAACAAAAACTCAAATTGTTGGGTCTTCCTGTTAGGAACTGTCTACCCACAGGTCCCATACCAGGAATTAGAGGTCTTAGCACTGTGGAAATAAGATGTTTAAATGGCTTACATGGTCTCATTGAAAGACTCTGGGGAAGAGTGAATGGAAGTAGTTATTAGATAAACTAGGAAATGGACTGAAATAAGCAAACAGATGACTATTGACTATTATGGCTCACTTCCACCTGTCCCCAAATTAAAGCGCATTACACATGGTTGTAGAAAGATTAGTATTTTAGCTAAGTATGAAATTCTTACCTTGGCTTTTATTTCCATTTTTAGGATTGACCCAATGATTGTCATCACATCACTGATAATTACCAGGACATACCACCCGTTCAGGAACTCCAGGCGATCAGCATAGCAGACGCGGCGCTTGTGTTTCTCCAGGAAGAAATTCACAAATCTCTGTTGACAAGCATTTAGATGTTTAGCTACAGGTCACCTTGGATGAAAAACGTGGCAATGTTCAAGTTCCACACAACAGTATTCATGGGAATAGTAGTTTAAAACTAATTCTCAATAGCAACAGAACTAAATAGGAAAAAAATTAAGACAGATTGAGGCCAGTGAAAATGAACTTTCCACAGAACACTTGATTTCATAACCCATTCCCACTAACCTGACCATGGCCTGTTATCCCCTTTACCATAGGTGCTGTCCTCCTCTAACAGAGCAAGGCCACCCAACTAAAGAAGTGAAAAAGCACTCAAAGGCAGCTACAGGGCAAGAGCTCTCATTTCCAATAGAGCAAACAAAATCACCTCTATGCCCAGCACAGCCCATCTGCTTTCACTTGCTCTTTTTGCTCAGGAATAAATGTGAAGTGCCTATTCCTGAGAGCAGTTTGACAATGCCTCTGTTGAATCATGTCCTCTTGACTCTTGGTCTTGTTTCCAAGCTACAAAAAGGATATATTGAGCTAGATAAACAAGTATTTGTTTTCATATCCTACCTACCATGGACTCTTCTAACTCTCATCAGCCACATGCTTACAAAAAAAACAAAAAAAACAAAAAACAAACAAACAAAAAAAAAACCACCAAAAAAAAAAAAAAAAACCAAACAGCCAGAGTTAGATTATGTGCTGTGCTTTACATTTTCTCCAGTTAGAGCTGGCTTTGAGGCATCTTCATTAAGGCATTAATTTATGACTAGACCTCTATGGGAATTCCACTCTGAAGCCAGGGAAGAAAGATTTGTGGTTTGGAGGTGCAGGACACATTGTGTGTTTGAAGCACAAAGACTCAGTCATTTTGTCTAAAATCCTGGGGAGGGTTGGGGGGGAAGTCTCCTTCTTTTGCCCATTGAGATAAAACAAAACACTTCAAATTCCAGCACTACACAGAAACTAAATCCATTCACAGTTAGCAATTGTCCACCAAGACACCTACACATCCTTTCTAGAGAGAACAGTAAGAGGGACATCTTGCAAGAGATTTACTCACTTTAATACTTTAATGTTTCAAAAGGTACCCCTCCACAGGACCAGCAGCAAAGAAGGCAGAGACCGAGCAAGCAGCAAGGTCATGAGCACTGTGCTCACCTTTTGCAGCCTCCAGGCAAGAACGATGGATCGCGTGCAGAGGATGAGAGAAGCCAAGCAACTCAATATGACAAATCCATCAAAGACTAGCACATACTGAGTGTTCTTCTGGAGAACTGTAAAGAACCAAGGAAATAAAGTAAGGTTAGACTTTTCACATCTCTTTCAATGCAAGTTATGTGACACTTTGTAACAATTCATGCTCAAATACTCTCATCACATAAGCAAATGGGTTACAAGCTGTATTCTTCCTGCAAGCATATCTTGAACACAGCTCAGCAGAGAATTACACCAAGACAGACATGGGGACTGGGCCACAAGAACGAAAAATATGTTCAAGTTCTTCAAAATAAACCCAAAAATGGGTACCTTAATACAGTTATCCTCCTTTTTACCTGTCCAAATGTACTTCCACAGTGTTACAACTACATGAAGCAAAAGAAATGCAGATTTGGTCTGCATCAACACCATAAAATTAAAAAAAAAATTCCCACCTTAGTCTGCAATAAGAGACTGTTTGGACTTTCTGTACTGTTTTCTTTTCATCCACAAATTTAAAAGCTATCATGTGAACAAGTTGCATTGTTTTACAGGCAGGGGGATGAACAGGCTGGGGAATGTCTTGCTGGGCAGACTGCTACAGAGCAGGGAAAGCAAAGGGAGACCCATAACTGCTGCTCTGCAAACACACATGCACCATACTTACCTGAGTTAAATATGTGCCAGTCTTTGCATTCCTGAATGTCGGTGTCACTATCAAAATAGACCTTGATTTTTCCACTGTGGGCTCTATTATTGAAAGTTATCTGAAAATACAGAGCTACATCAGAAACAGTAGTAAGTCTGCATTCCAGAAAAATTAATCCTGCTAAGTGCCTTGGACACAGCATGCATTAATACTGTTGATCAGATAGGCTTTAAGAAAGTTGCCCCCATAAATGATGGTGCAGTCATAATTTGAGTAGATCACATCTATTGCCTAATGAGCAGTATTCCAAGAGGCCAAACTTCACAGTCAGTCTTTAGATGAGGAACAATTCCTTATCCCTCTCTCAGGGTAGGAGGTTACCAACTGGAATATGTTACAAAGCAACATTGTCCCATGGCAGCAGCATTTCAGCAGCCTTTGGGAAGGAGGGGAAAGGACCAGCACATGCTCAGCTGTGCTTCTCCTGCAGGCCAGATGTGAGGATGACACCTGCACCTTAGCCTAAGCTCTCCTTGCACATACAGGGTTGGAAGTGCCACAGCCCATTTTCACTTACAGTGTTTTGAAATGCATAGCAGTCAGGCAATTCACGGGCATGGATTGTCTGAAGAGCAATGCCTTTCAGCTTGAAGGAGATTTCAACCTGTATAAGCCTGGATATTTGAAAAATTGCACAAAGATATTTAAATATCACAGAATATCACACTGCACAAATCAGAATCCACCATATTAATATGAGAGAACAAGTCGGAATAATTTTTTAAAACTCCATCACTTTACCTGTAAAATTCAAGATTGAAAAAAGAAGAGTTCAGCTTCAGTTCAGCCTCCTTACCAGTTAGTTCCTTTGGCTTCAAAAGGATACATTCTGGAAAGACAAGAGGAAAACATGTTATCATAAAAACTTCACATTGAAAATAGCATTAAACTGAAATGATCAGTGTGTATAGCAAGTCCTAATCAGGCAAAACATTAATTTTGAGAAAAGCTACTCAGAAGCCCAGCTAGTGGGGTCAGAAGCAGGTTTGTGTACCAGCTTGTGAGCAGCCAGGACTCAGCTGTGAGAGGCAGTAAGGGCACCCACCCATGGAAGGTGCAGACTGACCAGCATCCAGAATTCCCTGTTTGAACCATCACAGAGGGGGAACAGGTGTGTTTAAGAAAAAGAACAACAAAGCACCACCTTAGCATCAACTGCAAAGATTTGTAGGTAGTTGAAGAGAGCCTCAGCTGTCTTTTCTAGACAGGTGCTAAAAACCAAGAGGGAAATAGGCAAGAAGAATGCTAATGTTCCTGTGATTGCTACACAAAAAGCTATTGGTTTTAAGCTTTAGAACTAGGATTCAAGTACTCCACAGCACGACATTTTAAGTGCAACAGTACTGTACCTGTTTCAGTAGAAACATCTATGTTCAGTGTATCATTGGAAGGAAGCATTGTGCCTCTCTTGTACTGCTGTTTACAGATTTTTAGACCTGATTCTTCATGCTCATAACCAAGTGTCCCCAGGGATATGTTCTTTAAGTGCCTGTACTAGTTTAAAAATAAAAACAGAAGTTAGAGAAACTAATTTTTTTTTTTTTTTTGCACTAGAAAGCAAATTGAAACCTCAAAGTTATATGTATCAATACAGGCTTTTAAATGAAAAATCTTTCACATAAAAGCTTCCCAGTCAATTTACAGACAAGAGGGCTGCTGGCCACTAATTAGCAGTGATCTGCATCCTGGTGACACAGTGGCCAGGAGCCCTGTGCCTACTGGGCTGGCTGCAGATGGTCACCCACGTGTCAGAGAGCTGCTCACTAGAGGCCTGCAGAGACCTCAGGGCAGTATTGCTGCTAGCCACACACCCCCAGGGGTATCTTCACCTATGAAGTGACAGTTTTCACACCACCTGAAACTCAGTCATTGTACACGTGGTCCAAGTCATGGTTCCTATCAAATCCATGCCAAGACCACACCCAAAGCAGGTCCCTGTGAGATCAATGGACCAGCCATGAAGGACAGGAGATCAATGGACCAGCCATGAAGGCAGCTGCCTGCCAGCTCAGTTTCCCAAGAGCTAACACTGTCCAAGAGAAGCCAGACAGAGCCATGGCCTTCTGGGGAAGAAGGCAGGAACACACAGCATTCCTTAGTTTTTATCATTACCTGTCCTAACAAAAGGACTCAGGGCAGCGTACAGCAGTGGTCTGCTCTCAAGAAAGCATTTAGGTTTCTTGGAGGCCTGAAGTTAATCAACATGGGAAATCAGGCAAGGTTTGTCATTACTTAAAAATTTGTTCAACTGGCTTTGACAAAGATTAGTCCCTTTTCCCGTTTAACATGGATTTTTTTATCATGCATCATTCATTGTCATCCTATTTCCCCCTTCCTATGGGCATTGTGGCCACTAGCCCATCTCACCAGTGACATCCCACCAGCCACCAAGAACCACACACTGCACGCCCAGGAGTGGAACTGCAACAGGAACTGCCACACTGGTGTGCAAAGCTCTGCCTTGCAGTGCCACTTCAAGTGCACTGTTCAGACAGCCAGGAGCAAAGTACAGCCTCCTCACCCTGCCAGCATCTGAGCTCAGAGCAAGCCAAGGACGCCACATCTGACTAAGGCAGGTCAAGTGAGTGGAAAGAGCGCTTAGTCACAGCTCCTCATCCCACTGAGGACATCTCCAGAGCACTGCCTGCAGCAGCTGCCGCCCCAGCCACGTGTGCTCTCAGGCTCTGCCCTCCTGACAGACAGCACGAGGTGCTGGGCTACCCACACACCACTTCCAAACAACACCACGAAACAACAAAAGCAACATTCCTGCTTATAAATTTCCAAACAGCTTCAGAGCAGGCAGCAGAATATCCTGGCCTTACAGCCACAGGGCAGAGCACAAGAGTAACAACTTCACACAGCTTTGTGTGAAGCAAATAGCTGAAGTTGCTATTACACTTGTTATAATAATATAAATTTTAAATTTGTATTAGAAACTTTGTAATAGAAACTCTAGCTTGAACCCAGTAGAGGAGCAAGGGAAACCTGTGTACTCTTCCAAGTATAAATGTATGTTTGGGCTTTAATGTTGGTGGTCTGTTTGGGGTTTTTTCCAAAGTGTTAGAATATCCCCAGTGGTATATTACACAAAGGCTAAAATTCAGTTTTTACAACTCCAGCTTTGCTGTGCACAATTACTGTTTCCTGTAATGTCATTTCCTTCTGCTTTACCCACCCAAGCATGCATTTCAAAAACACAAACCAGAACACCAAATCCCATGTCCTCTAGCTGCCCATCTCAAAATTTAAAAAAAAAAAAAAAAGCTTGGGAGTCATATAGATTGGCTCTTCCCACAAGGCACCCTCTAAAGACAGACAAAAAAAGGCAACAATAGTCAATGTTCACCTGAAAGCATGCTTTTTGAATGCTTACATGCGATATACAAGTCTCAGGAATGACAGAGGACACTAAAGAACCCAGATTTCACAATTTAAAGCGCCTTAAAGGATATGACTATATTTATTCCACACAGACATTGTATGAAGAGACCTTTTTCTGATGCCTGGCTCATTCTTGAGGATATAAAGCTATTATTTCTCTACTGTCTTGTACTGGAATTCACCTCAGCCTTAGTGCCTACAAAAGAAGGAAAGTGAAACAAAGCAAGCAAGGAAGGAAAATAAAAAGAAAGCATGGCTTATTGCAGGAACAGTAGCAATATGGATAGTTCAAAGAAAGACAGAGAAAACTACTTCACCATTATTTCAAATGGCAGTAATGAGAGTCTTGGGTCTTGTCCAGCACTTTTGGCATGCTGCTGGCTCTGCTGCAGCTTACAGGAGAGGCCAGGAGAGCAGCAAGCCCCCACGAGGGGCTGATTGAGAGAGGTTTGGCCCTTCACAGCCCTGAAACTCTCAGATGCTGCTGGGCACAGCTGCAGTGGCAACACTGCTTCAATCCAGCTGCCAGAGCTCATGTGCCAAGGCCAGTGAAAATGAAAGGTGGTTTAAAGCCACTTTTTATTCATCCTGTGTTAGTAATTTCTGGGTTTATCATCATTTCCAGCACAACACACACTTCATATCCCAGAGTCTTTAATCTTGGGACTTCCAAATGTATTAATACTAAATACAACAACTTTTACAGAATTTTCATCCTAGATTTACTCACTTTTCTCTGACAATTATAAATTATCTTTTAAAATATCATCCCTAATCAGAGTGAATGCCTCTACTCTCCTAACTACCATATTCCCCATTTTGAGGCCTCAAGCCCTCACCACAAAGCTCTCAGTTCACGAGAGCTGTTAAGGACACATTGTTTTAAAGCATGCATAGGTATATTCAGGCTCACAGGGCTTCAAAGTAAGACCTAAACCGAGGTTCCAGTGAACAATTTTCAAATTTTCTGGATTTTGGTATTAAGAACTACCTGAGTAAAAGTCTGGTTTGGATTCATCTCCAAGAGATGAAAACTCAGCTACAACACAAACTTGAGGACATCCCCTTTTCACTGATTCAGTGAAACACCAAACTGAAATCCAAAAATGGAATCAGAAAATCAGAAACTTAGCAGAAGTTTATAGCTGTAGCTTCAGCTTTAACACAGTTATCAACACATACTCACACCTACCTGATTAATAACATAAAAAATGCTATCATAAGCATCCTGTTGTGTGTATATACTGCAGCTGTAGTCATCTTCATCAGTTCCAGAATAGCCCTTCAGGAATAGGTGTTTAAAAGCAACAATGTTTTCCTCTTTGAATGAGACCACCAGCTGGTTACTCAAACCAAAAAAAACAAGCTGACAAGGGAAAAAAAAAAAGGACTTGAATTTTGAACAGTGGTCAAGCAGCAGCACTTTGGAAACAGCTTTAAATTACAATAAATACAAACCAGACAGGTGCCTGTTGCTGTAACTCTGGCAGGAGCAGAGCATCCTTTAATCAATGGCATTACCAAAGATTACAAAACCAAGGGTATCACATGCAGGGCAAGTGAAACAGAATCTAACTGCAGCACCTGAACAGACAGCTCCACCACTTGCAGTTTTACATATCATGGACCAACAACTCCAACTGGGATTTGCAAAAACCTTTGTGGAGGATGCAAATGGAGACAAGCTAACTTAACAGCACAACCTGCTGCCCCTGAAATGCTCTGCTTTGCTATGGACAAATCCCTGCACCTTTCCTACCTCGGGCATGGGACAGGGTTAGAGCAATAGAAAGCCTCACCTGCCTGACCCAGGTGCTGCCTAAGGAGGATATAACAAGCAGGAACAGCAAACAGCAGAGTGAAGACTTGTGTTCCTCTGCTATTTGGATGGCCCCATTTCCACCACCACCACCAAGGAAAACATAAATAGAGCCTAGAAACTGCTTGGCTTTCCACAAGAGCTTCTTCATAGGCACAGGAGGAGGAGGACATCCCCAAGCCCCAGCCATGTGCCTGACAGCTGAGCAAAACCAAGGGCTGACAAGGAAAGTCTCAAGCAGCAGTCCAGAAAAATCTTGTGGCCTTTGAAAGCCAAGCAGCAGAGCACCCCTTCTGCTCACAAAGGACAGTGGGAGACTGGGGCAGCAGACAGAAAAATCACATGTTCAGTGATACCCCCAAAGATGGAAGGCAGCGGGTTAGGACAGATGGCAGTACTGAACCTCTCCAGAGACATGTAAGGTCTTCAAAGGAAAAGGAACAACCCAGCATGTATATTTAGCTGCTCTTGCAAGCTGTCAGATATCAGTCTTGCATTTCAAAGGTTCAGAAAAAGTAATTTCTACCTGTGTGTGTCCCATTTTGCTTTCCTCCACATGCAGTCCCTGTTAGAGGACTGTACCACAACCAAATGCACTGTGATACCAGTGCAGGTCACAAACACCCTCTTCTTTGTCTCCACCAAGTATCTCAAACAGTACATGACTTTTCAAATGCATTGTCTGATGACAGAAGCAAGAGGCACATCCAGTTCCTGCAGCGCAGCCATCCCATCATCATCAGAAACCATAGCAGCTTCACACTGAATGTGGACACCTTAATTTTCTGATTAGATATCAGGAAATAGCACTTTTGAAATAGTCCAGTGAAACTGTAATCTAAAAATGTCACAGTACTGTGACAACAAGCCTGAAGACAGTGCTGAATTTCATGGGAAGAGTAACTTGCTTTAAAGTATGTCAAAAATGGCAAAATTTTGACATAACACTTTAAAGCAAATTACTGCCCTAAAAAAATACTTTAAAGCAATGACTGCCCTAAAAATCTCCAGGAGGCTTTTATAATTTATGTTATTCTTCCCCCTTGAAACACCTTTCATAGTATTTTTTTCTTTATGGAGTGAAGTGGGAGGTTCAAGCCAGTAACAAGTACCCAGGGTTGCCAAAGGCCCAGAAGCACAGACCTGCTTCTCTTGTACATCATTGCTACTCTAAGAGTAAAACCAGAGGATTACCTGTGTCGTAACCATAAGTATCTTCAAAATCTGCAAAGCCAATTTCCATGGTATCTGACGTCTTGCTCTGTATTTTTCACATGGGTTCATGAAGTAAAACTTCAAATCCTCTTTCAAAGCTGTCTCTTTTAGATCTAAATCTGACTGAGTCATCATGTTTCTGCTACAAAAAACATATTAATTAGAAACCAAGAGAACATTTTGGCAGAAAATTTCCTCATTGCAGTATCACCTCAGATCACCACACGACATAAAAGGTCCAAAATAGTTTTGGGGTTACCTTATGGAAATGTAAAAATATTTTCCTGCGATCACATCATTAAAAATCATTCAAACACATCTGATCATTAAAACACACCATTTAGACAAATAATAAATAGGCATTAAATAAGAGGGTCTGTAATAGAAAGAAATGTAGACTTGCTATTACTCCCTTACAAATCTATCTGAAACAAACAGGGACCAATGTTAACATATTTGTCTGAATAACCCAAATTCTAGCAGAAGAAAAAGGTGTCTCAAAGATTAAACCAGAGCAGGCTTTACACACACTTCTCTTATGAACATGCAGCTTCAAGGGCTAAATTCATAGGCATTTATTTATTTAAATACCTGGGCATTCAAAAATCAGAGGACTAAGTACAGAGGACTGTTGTGTTTTAAATCACCTTAAGTTTCTCCTTTTCAACTGAATGGGACATTGAAACAACTTTACCCATCTCCTAATAATTTTAACCCTGTTTTCCAGTGTCATAATTTTTCGGAACTTTCCTACTTCACACACAGATCAGATCACAACTTGTAATTTTTTTTCTCTCTTTACAGGTTAAGAGTATCATATCTGACACCAGGTGATTATCAGTCCCATTGACAATTTGGAATGTTGTTCTCAATGCTCTGAATTTTATAAAGGATTACATTTTGTCTGAGGCTCAAAACCGAATGCATCGATTCCAAGTTTTCAGATACTTGGAATACTTTTTCATTTTTACTTTTTCTGTCCTCACCTGTCTGAAGTGCACAGATATTTAAGCTCAAACTGTAGATCACAAAGGACACTTGATTTGTTAGAACCAGCTGTCCCACAAGAAGAGAAATTTCAGTTAAAGAAGCACAGTAAAGCTGACACTGTGGTGTTTCCTCAGAAGAGGAAGTGAAAAAACCAAAAAAAATCTATTTTAATATTAAAAGCTCAAAAGTTATCTTTCCTACCCAGCCTTAAATTAATCTTTCATGAAGATGATGAGAGGCAGGATGACTTTGGTTTTTGAAGCAGGAAAAACATGGCCAGTTTCCAAGAAAAAGAAACTGTGGGCAGCATCCATATTTAAACATATAATAAAAACATTCTGGAATAGCTTTAGTAACACCTAAGATGCAAGAACTTTGAAAGGTGCAAACACACCTGGCAGAAGCGCATGTGCTAGTTACAGCTGTGAGCACTGGTAGGACACAGGGACACACATGCTCCCGTCCTGCACTGGCAGCAGACACGCTGCTCCTGCACCAGCCTCCCTCCAGCAGGCAGAGCGCGGGCACACAGGGAGCAAGAGCTAACCCGCAGCGAAAGGGACAGGAGGAGGTGGGAAAGAAACAGGAAACAGGGTTAAGCCAAATCTGGTCACATTTTAAAGCGTGAAGGCATGACAGAAGAACCTCTCCAAGACTTCAGCAAGATCCTTCCCTAAGCTTCCAGTAAAAGCATATGAGAAGTGACAAATCTTTAAAAATATAAAAGCCAAACAAACACAGGCAAAAACCCTCACAAATCAAACAGCAAACTTTATAACAAGCAGTTTTTTAAAATATTCAAATACATAGCAGGAAATTTGTCAAAGAAAGCAGCACTTTTTTTTTTTTTTTTTGCTTAAGAGAGATCAAAGATTCAAGCCTGTATCACTGTTGAACTTTGTCTTCCAACTAAAAAAACCAGTCATTCTCTGGTGTAGTATTTAAGAAAGAATTCATTTTTAAACAGGTGAAACAGGTAACAGGACAACAGGTGAAACAGATCAACTGGTTTTTAATTCATTCATTTCTAGGACAGATTAAAAATTACATCCAAATAGACCACATTAAATCAGCAGAACTAGAACCTCCAACCAAAGCACTGAAAGTTTAAAAGCTCCAAGAGACTACCAGTGATTTACCATATTTAAAACAAACCAGCTAATTCTACCCCACGGTCATTAGCCTAATAATCTAAACCTAATTGAAGCAAAGTACCCAGCGCAGGGCAGAGCAATGAAGCAATTAAGTTCTGACACGGTGGTGTAATTAACACCACTTAATGGGTTTCCACTGCGTGTTTTGTGAAGCACTGACATAATCAAATTTTCGGCGAATGAAGACTAACTGCACAATGCATGCTGAGGTGCACATCCAGGTGTCATGTGTCTCGTATATTACAACTGGTACTAACTCAGCTCTAGCAGCTGCACTGCTGTAGCTGGCAGCACAGTCTGTTGTAGCATTTTAGAGCCCAACATTCCACTCAAGAAAGAGGTTTCAACAGTAAGGACTACAATTTACAGCGACCTACTCATGAAATACACTTGCAGTAGTTAGCTCTTCACCCAGCAGAAAAAGCAGAAAAATTGAACCAAGCGGCTAAAGTGCGCTTAGCAAGTGAGCACAGTCACTTTCTTTAATGAGTAACTCACTAGTGTAGCGACACTAACAGCGTCCATCAGAGCTCCGTATCAGCGACATTTATCTACTTGAGCTCTGTATCTTGGAGACCCTGGGGTCCTAAGGGGACAAGAAGGAGGGAAAAAAAAAAAAACCACAAAAAAACCCAAAAAAAAACCAGGTATTAACGAGAACCCTGGGGTCCTAAGGGGGCAAGAAGGAGGGAAAAAAAAAAAAAACCAAAAAAAAAACAAAAAAAAAAAAAAAAAAAAAAAAAAAAAAAAAAAAAACCAAAGAAAAAAAAACGGGGAAAAAGCCATCACTGAGTTGAGCTCTACGTGTCAGTCTGGGGAACCCCAGCTTCACTTTCCCGATCTGTACTAAGCTCAGCACGCTGCCAGAGGACGGCACCGCTTCACTCTTCTCAGAAACGTCGGGGAAAGCCCTCCCGTTCAGGGCTCCCACCGTCACCCCCCGCTCGGCTGCCGCGGGAGGAGCGGCCGCAGCCGGGCCCGCACGGAGCGCTGCGCTGCGGGCGGAGGGCAGGACCTACCTGTGCGGCAGCCGAGACACGCGTGTGCCGCGCCCGCCCGAGAGGGACACGCGTGTGCCGCGCCCGCCCGAGAGGGACACGCGTGTACGGCGCCGGCCCGAGAGGGACACGCGTGTGCCGCCCCCGCCGCCCACCTGTGCCCGGCGGCGGCCGCGCCCTCCCGAGAGGCTCCCCGCCGTCCCCGTGCCCCGGCGCTATCGCGGCCCCGGCCGGAGGATGGGACAGCCCGGCCCGGCCCGGCGGCGAAGCAGCGCCCTGACCTCGCTGCCCTCCGGGCGGGCTGGCCCGAGGGCTCGGCACCGCGCCCACCCCGGCTCAGCCCGGCCCGCTTCCCTCACCCGCTGGCGGCGGCCCGCCCGCCGGGGAGGGACTTGAGAGGGATCTCCATGGGCCGCGGGGCTCGGCGGAGCAGCCCCGGCCCCGCAGCCTGCCCCGCCGGCCGCGCCGCCTTTATGGGCCCGGCGGAGGAGGGCGCCCGCCGCCCACGTGCCCCGCGGGCCCCGCTGCCCCGGCCCCGAGCGCGGCTCTGCCTGCCAGTGAGGCTCGCCGCTCTCGGGCACATGGCCCGCGCGGGGCTGGTGTGACTCTTGGGGATGTCCTGTGCAGGGCTGCGAGTTGGACTGGATCATCCTGGTGGGTCCCCTCCAACTCGGCATAATCTCTGATTCTGTCATAACAGGAGTTACCTTACTGCCAACTAGTAGTTGTAGACACGGCGATAGCATGCGGGGAAGACTGCAGGTGAGATTAGCTACTACAGAGGTGGTTGTCTTGCAGGTCAAGAGGTATTTAGTTCCTCAGAGGATGTGGTTTAATGCAGTTGCTCCAAACTAGGGCGTTCAAAACAGAATGTAGACTCAAAGAGGCATCATTGCAGCAACTGAGCTCTCTACCTGTCCACACAGTGGGCATGGGCAGCACAGGGTTCTTACATAATGCTCTCAGATGATGCTGTATTTGGTTGTGGTCACACTGTAAGGGAGACGGAACAAAAGCCCAGACAAACATCCATATGCAGTTTCTCAACATTAGCTGCAAGAACATTGTGTCAACTCATGCATGAAAGTTTTCTTAAGGCTTCCTCTGGCATTAGCTACTGCTTGAGGCAGGAAGATTCTCCTCACAGGTGCAACCACAGGTTTTGTTTTTTTACAGCAGTGTCTGGGTGTTGTCCTACTTCTTGTTTCTGTTCCTGTCCCCCCATCTGCCAGATAAATTATGCCCTTACACATTTTAATACTGAATAGGTATGAACACATTTGAATTTGATTCCTTGCTCTTTTGTATACACACTGTTTAGCTTCTCTTGAGAATGCACTTCAATCCAACATGGAAACTGATACTTAGAAACAAGTAAGCCCACCACCTCTTCCTCTCATGAAGTTTAACTTCATTATCTTAGAAGATCTGGGCTCTGCTGAAAACAAGAAGTTCTCCCTAATTGTGTATGCAAAACATTGGCATTGAAATAAGCCTTGGTAGGAAAACAGCTGCTGCCTAATACAGCACTCTGTGACTTATTTTCATGAGGAAATACTGACTATTGGTATTTTCAGGTGACTTTCCAGAGCCCAGTGAGAATCTGAATGAAGAAAATCTCTTACCCCTCCACATCTTCTTGGTCAGGGCTGAAAGCCCTGTTTCCCTTAGGAGGGCATATTTAAGCATGTGTTTATCAGATGCTTTATCTGCTTCCTTGTTCTCCCCAGCTGCGTTTTACAGTTCTATCTGTGCCTGCTTGATTGCATCAGCATAAAGATACCAATGTCTCCAGGATGCAGCTTTACATGTGCTACCAGCATTGCTAATGCTGAGATCACTGATACCCTGAAGTCACAAGGGTTTTTTTAGAATAGGATCATTGTCACACATCTCGGCTCTGCAAGGCCATAACCAGCACATCGTATGTTGATAAGATTAAAAAGCCTCACCACACACACAACAGCAGCAGCCACAGATCTGGCAGAGCTGTACTTCATCTCAAAAGCAGCTAGCAGGCTGGAAAACACAGCATTGACTTGCTTCTTCTCAGGTGGGCAAAATAGTCAGGCAGATGAAGATCAAGCAATAGAAACCTTGACTTGATGAAGAAGACTTCACCATGTGTATTAGGAATAGAAAGACTATATACAGTGTATTTTCCTGCTTTGTGGTCACCTGTTGTAGATTGCCATGCCTTATGCTCATACTGCAGACTTCTATTAACATGCTTTCTCTCTGCTATTTTAAAACTCTGTAAGAATTTGACACTTTAGAGCTCTGTCAAATTTTGTGGAAACTTGCTGCCAATTTAATAAGTTAACGGTGACAAAGCACATGTTCTACCCCATTTCTAAATGAAATCAGACCATTTCTTGCCTTATAACTGTATTGGCAAACAAAGTGTTCCATAGCTCTTTACAAAATATACCTGTATTTTAAGTGAATTATTAATCTTAGCTTTATCTTAACTCTGTATGAAAAAGCCGTGTAAGTCTGCCTTCTGCATTTCATTGATCTTAAAAGTGCATGCCACCCTTGCCAAAGTTCCTTACATAAATTACTGTACACAATGTGATGTGCACATTATATTTTGTGTGTTGTCAAAGATCCATAAGGAGTTAATTTTGTCAAGAGAAAACCTGGTCACTTAATATTTTTTGAGGTCACTTAATATTTTTTGACTGCCTTGCATCTTCTTCAAAAGTTTCCAAAGTCTTCAGTCTTAGATGAGTGTTGAAAGAGAAGGAACTCAGTACACAAAACTTTCAGATACTGTGAATAATCTGTTCTGCCTATGCCTTGTACTTGGTTTGCCTTTGCTGAATTTGAGAAGTGTTTTTAGTGTAAGGTTAAATACTTGAATAGTTGTTTCTATGGCAAATTCTGAAATGCTGTTAAGCACAGCTGGAAACAGGTCCTCACCAGGGTCCATGGGAACTAGCATGGCGACAGGAAATCCAAGTTCACACATTCCACACTCCATTTCATGCCAGAAATTGCATAGCATTATTAAAAAACAAAGCTCCTATATAAACCTGGCAACATATTTACTCTAAAGATGAATACTGACACACCCCATATTTACTGCAGCTGTTTATTGTAGCACATTTACAATGTGTAAGCATTCAGACAGAACGTGTTTAGTGTCCTCTACAGCATTATACATTGTCACACTCAGCTACAGCAATGTTGCTCACAAATGCAAGTTCTCTAAAATATGCTTCCCTTTAGTTTTCTATTCTGCTCCCAGAGTGAATAGACTATAGAAAATAAGGCATCCATTAAATAGTATCACAATCAACAAAGAATATAAACTAAGTTGTCAAAACTGAACTTTTATAAGAGCTAATGTTTCATCCAGCCACTGACAGTAGCAGGTTATTAGGTTGCTAGGAAACATCCAGTTTCTAAAGCGTGGAGAGATTAGACTCACAGAGACATATCTCCTGTGTCCTTAACTCAGTTTAGACTTCAGGTTTACAGACTTGTATTCCAGAGGAAGATTTCAAATTTTTAAAAAATAGGTTTTTTGAAAGAGTTTTTGGATTTTTCCTTTAAAAACATAAGATCCAAACACTGTTAAGCTCAAGACTGTAACTGACTCTGCCCAGTGCTTGATACATGAGAACATTTCTCCATTCAGCTCATCCCTGAAATTTCAGTTCAGCCTGGCATATCCCAGCCTCTCTGAGAATAGATTGCCACTTACATCCAGTGGTACTTGTGTTTAAAGAAATATTTATTTTATGCTTTCAGCTATATTTGAGTGGTTTGTGTATCAACTCAGGTAATGACTTCAGAAACAAATTATACCAAATTTCACAGTATTTATTTTTACTGTGAGTGCAAATAAACAAAAAATGCTGAAGGATCTAGTGAGTTTTTATTCCTTCAGTAGCAGGGCAGCCACAGACAGATAATGCCTGCAGTACTGAGGGCTAGGTTGGTGTTCAAAGCTGAAGTTGTCCAGCACTAGTTCTACTTATCGTTACTACATTTGTATTCTACTCTTATAATCTAACCAAGTATCTGAACACAGGCAGGTTTTTATGCCCTTTGCATTCTAGCACAATTTAACTAAAGAATCAAAAGAATAAAACTACTAAAAACCATCCCCAAACCCCCTGAACTAGCAGTGAATGTCTAAACAAAAGGTCTGTAAGTTTAGCATAAACTTCTGCCATAGGCTTACACTGTTTTTTGAGAAAAGCAAATTAAGTCTTCAGAAATAGGGTTTTCCACCAGCTCCATTGTCAAGTTCTTGCAATGTGTGCTGCTTTAAAGCCTCCATGATACACTCCCAGAATCCATTAAATATGTCCACTACAACCTGTACAAGAGAGGAGGGGGAATTTGTCAGGTAGCTGCATCAAAATAATAGTTTCACTGTACAAGGAGCCTTAAAAATGCAACTGAACTATTAATAATTTGACATCCATTGACAAGAAACTGCTGTGAACCACCAGAAAACGTTCTGAATACAAGACTGCTCTCCTAGATGCTTGATCCCCACTGCACAGTCAGTAGGAAAATTATTACATCCCCACCCTGACCCATTTTATGCTGGTTTTCTTGCCTGTTTAAACTGAGAGGTGTGTGCAGAAAAGGAAATATCAGTGTGTCCATGCCCTTTACCCAGGAGCATGATGCCCTGCTCTGCTTCATCCCACACTTTTATCTCCAGTAAGACACTCGGTCAGAACAGAGGGTGGCTCACAGCAGGCTCTGTCATCTCCTTGGTCCAAAATACATCCCCCTCTCCTCTGTCTCATAAATACATTCTATCAGGCACATAACAACACAGCCCACCAGGAAAGCCTAATACCAAGGAGTTGCACCTTTGATCTTTTTAATCAAGAGGCAAATATTTTTCAGCTCCCCCACCGAAAGGCTCTCCAGCAAGGAAGACTCAGACTTGCTGCCAGCCGGGTTAAATATAAACCATGTATCCTGCAATCGGTATTCCTGAAGAAACACAACTTCAAATAACTGAAGCATTTTCCCTCCATAATGGAAGTTAGGCAATGTTTTCCAAGTGCTGTTGTGGTATCTTAAACTACATGCTGTCTTAAAACCTTGACAAGCTGATTTTCTCCCCAAGTTTCAGGCCTGTTACCTGCACAAGGTGTGATTAAAAAGTGGATAAGAGAACACTGAAGGAGTTCTCTAAGTCCTGCCTATTGCAGTGAGTACAGGAAATGTTAATGCTTGCACATTACACCTATGGGGTTCCCAAGTTACTGTATATATTATCTTTCTGTATAATTTTTCACATTAAGTGAGTCTTAATTTGGAAGTCCCCTCACATTTTCTAAGAAAATTGTTGGCTGTAGACATTTTGCTGAAGTGCTCTGTTCATTAGAAATAGTTTGGGATTTTTGTGTGGGTTTCCCCCATGCACACAAC